TCTGGCTTCGGCGTGATTTCCCTCATCTTGAGAGTCGGACTCTATACTGTTGCCCCTCCTGACTGGGCTTTCCCCCAGAGGCTTCTACCTAAGGTCATAGATCCCACTTTTACTGGCCCTCTGCTGTCTACTTCTGAGCGCGTTTCACTATGGTTTTCCTGGCCCCAGTCAGTCCTGGTCTTCTGCTACCTGGTGTGCTGTTAAGTTTATGATTAAGTCCGTGTTCGCCCCAAGCCTTGCAGTCAACTCTCAGAGTCAAACAGAATGATGCCCTGTAAACTAGGTGTTTAAAGGGGCATCAAAGGGGGGAATGATTAGGAAAATCTGTGTCCTATGATGGCCGACCGAGCCAGCGAGAGAGTCCCAGTCCTTGCCCCGGAGCTCTTCCGGGTTCTTCTCCTTGCCCCGCTTCGCGCAGGCGCCAAAAGTGCCCAGTATGCGGAAGTAGAAGTGTATAAATTGCCCTCTTTGTGCTCAGGGCTCAGACCTTTGGAGACCACTCTCCTCTGAGCCCGCCGGGATTAAATAAACCTCCTGTCCTCCAAGATCTCCAAGTGCCACTTGGTTCTTCCATCGGGAGATCCAGTCCAGGTTCCATAACAAACATACCTCTACGTTGGCCTCCTTCTCAGGCTGACTCCCCCCGCCCCCTCCTGGGAAAAACAATGGCAACTCCAGGTTCACGTCCTATTAAAAGCTTGAGTAACCCAGACAAAATATCAGCAAAGATCCCAGAATTGAACCTCATTGGCTCAGCCTAACCAGGTACCCATTCCAGAACCTCTGGCAGTGGCCAGGGTACAGTTTTCCAGGCTTGGGGCATGTGTCCATTCCTGGAGCTAGGAAAGGGGGTCACAGCCCAAACTATAGGGGCTGAACACAGGGACAAGTTTTCCCCAAAGGAAAGTATGAGGGATGTTACTCGAAGAGGAGAGAATGGTTGCTGGTCAGAGGGAAGCAAGAGATGTCCTCTACAGTCAGTCACACAGATGTCTGCTTAGAGGGCTTGAGGGTGTGACTTTATCCGGCTTTCTTGCCTCCTTGAACCACTAAGGGAAACGAGCCACCGAGGCTTGGCTCTTGGAAAGTGTCTGCAGTGAAATCTTTTCTCCTCTTCTCTCTTGTTCTCTTCTCAACCTTCCCCCTATAGCTCCTCTTTTTCTAGCCTTTGAATCTGGCATCCCTCCCCTCTTCCCTGTGAAATTCCATCCTCCCATCTTTTGGGGGAGGGGAGCTTCAGTCAGATGCTAATAGAAACTCTCTTCTGGCCAAATCTCCTACACCCATCAGGCCATGCCCACGTTCTAGGCTCTGGTTCTGAAGTTGCAAGAATTTGGTGGGTGTATCAGTCAGGATTCAACTGGAGAAGCAGAACCACTAAGCTATATTTATAAATAGCTATGAAGGCACTTGTTACTGGATCTGATCTTATGCAATCCGGGGAGTGAATGAAGCAGTCTCTGTCAGGGTGTTTTCTTTGAGTCTGATATGGGAACTTGGAGACCACAGGGCAGGCAGGCAGGAAGGGAAGATGGACGTCAGGTCAGGGAGAGCAAGAATTAGCAGGAGCACGCAGGACAGACTGGAGTCCATGAGGATGGACTGAGCCTATGTCAGTTCCTCTTGCCTCTGACAACCTTGGTGGTGTGTGTGTCCTGCTGGAGTCAGAGCCCTTCATCAGGGGGCTAAACACACACCTAGCCCGGGAGCTAGGAAGCTGAAGGAGGATCCAGGGGAAGGTGGAGCAGTTGTAGGACCAAGGGAGTGAGCCAGCAGATAAAGGACAGCATGTATGAGCTTCTAAGAGGCTGCTACTTCCTGCTGCCCCAAATCTTCCATAAGAATCCCTCCTATGGGCTCAACCTTACTGAAAGCCCACTGAGAAGGGTATTCTGGGAAATGTAGTTCAATGCAAGCAAGTCAATACATTATGAAGCCACGGCACCAGTCTACACTTTGTCACCCTGCACATACACATCTCCTCAAACCATACTTAGTCTCCAAATAAAGAGAATAACAGAGTCAAGCTTTAACTAAAGTATACATCTGTGCCAGCTAAAACTCAGAATTTGCTAGCCCTTTCCTAAGGAGAAGATAGAATATATCTTCTTTTGTTGTTATTGGTTGATGCTCATTCTTCTCATAGCTGATTCTACAGCTTTGATAGCTTTATTGCTCAATATGTAAACTACAAGATAACTACTATGAACACATCCTATGTTAGCTAACAAGGGGAAAGAAGGAAAGAAAATAAAAATATGTGGTATGTATATATATACACACACACACCAACATATTCATTTCAAAAAAGGGAAGAAATAAGTCTTTCTTTCTACAAGTATAGCTACTACAGTTCTTCTGCACCTGCTCACAGCTGGCATTTATAATTACATTTATAACTACCTTTCCCATTACCCATTTGCTGTGGTCTCAATGTTTAGGGTCCCCCCAGTTAATATGTTGAAATTCTAATGACCAATATGATGGTACTAGGAGGTGGGGCCTTTGGGAGGTGATTAGGTCATGGGGGTGGAGCCCTTATAAATGGGACTCTTATAAAAGAGACTTCAGAGAGCTCCCTAGCCCCTTCCACCATGTGAGGATATAACGAGAAGTCTGGACCCAGAAGAGGGCCCTTTCCCCACCATGCTGGCACCCTGATCTTGGACTTCTAGCCTTTAGAAGTTTGAGAAGTAAATTTCCATTGTTTATGAGTTCCCCTGCCTGTGATATTTTGTTATAGCAGATGAATGGACTAAGATGCCATTCCATATTCACTCTGCCCTCAACAGCCACCTTGTCTGGTCTGTCTCTACCCTCCATTCTGTCAGTTTTTGCATCATATATGTTCATGATCTATTATCAGGTATGTAAAGGTTAATAATTTTTTTTAAGGATTTATATATTCATTTTAGAGATAAAGCAAGAGAAAGAGTGGGGAGGGGAGGAGCAGCGGGAGAGAGATAAGCAGACTCCACACAGAGCTCAGAGCCCAACACAGGTCTCCATCCCATGACCCTGAGATCATGACCTGAGCTGAAATCAAGAATCAGGTGTGTAACTGACAACCACCCAGGCACCCCTAATGGTTTATAATTCTATCTTCTTGTTGTATTGAACTTTTGCTTAATACAGAATGTACTTTGTCTCTTGTAACATTTTTATTTAAAGTCTATTTGGTCTGATATTAGTAGAACCATCCTGCTCTCTTTTGGTTACTCTTTGAATGGAATATCTTTTTCCATCCTTTTGCTTCCAATCTATTTTCAGTGTATTTGTGAATTCAGATGATTTCAATCCATTCTACCTACTTGTGTATTTCATTTTCTTTCTCTCTTTTTTTAAAAAAGATTTTATTTATTTATTTGACAGAGACACAGTGAGAGAGGGAACACAAGCAGGGGGAGTGGGAGAGGGAGAAGCAGGCTTCCCACAGAGCAGGGAGCCCAACGCGGGGCTCGATCCCAGGGCCCTGAGACCATGACCTGAGCCGAAGGCAGACGCTTAACGACTGAGCCACCCAGGCGCCCCTTGTATTTCATTTTCAATCTGATTTTAGATCCAATCTCTTTGGATCTAAAATGAGTCTCTTGTAGACAACATATGTTTTTGTCCCTCCTGCCAGTCTCTGTCTTTTGATTGGAGAGTTTCATTCATTTCCATTTATAGTAATTATTGTTAAGGAGGGATTTAACTTCTGCCACTTTCTTATTTGATTTCCATATGTTTTACAGCTTTTTAGTCCCCCATTTCATACATTACTATTTTTTTTTATGTTTAGTTAACTTTTTTGTAATGAAGTATTTAAATTTCTTTCTCATTTCCTTTGTGTATATTCTATAGCTATCTTCTTTGTAGTTACAATGAGGATAATATTTAACATCTTAAAGTTATAACACTCTGATTTGAATTTAGACCAGCTTAATTTCAATAATGTACAAAAACTCTGCTCCTTTACAGTTCTGTTCCCACCCCTTTGGGTTGTTGATGTCACACAATTACATCTTTAAACATTCTGTGCCCCAAAACATAAATTAAGAATCCTTTTTAATGGATTAGTCTCAAATCATGTAGAAAACAAAATGTGGTGTTAGAAACCAATGTCACAATAACACTAGCTTTTAGACTAATAATTTTTTAAAATGTCTCTCAGATAATATAGCAAACAAAAAGTACGCTTATAAATCATTATTAAAATAATATTAGCTTATTAATTGGCCATGTGTGATATTGTGATTGATAATATGAAATGTGTGGTTTCCATCCCATTCCTGGCACAGAGCTCCTAAAATCCTCAGACAGAGTGATAAAGATGTCTTTTGTTATGTTAATGAGGTGATTCTTGGACCATGCCTAAGGATGAGAGATGACTGCCAGTGGAGCCAATCACGTAACTAGAGATTTGGAAATTTCCATCTTACCACCCCACCTCCTGGGAAGAGAAGGGGCTGGAGGTTGAGTTGAATCACCAGTAGTCAGCCTTGCCTATGTAATGAAGTCTCCATAAAAACCCAAAATGATGGAGTTCAGAGAGCTTCTGGGTGGGTGAAGGCATGGACATCTGGGGAAAGTGATGTACTCAGAGAGAGCATGGAAGCTCCACACCCCCCTCCCCATACCTTGCTCTATGCATCTCTTCTATCTGGCTCTTCCTGAGTTATATCCTTTTATAACCAGTAATAAACCAGTATTCTGGTAAGTAAAATGTTTCCCTGAGTTCTGTGAGCCCCTCTAGCACACTCACTGAACCCAAGGAGGAGGTTGTGAACTTCTGATTTATATAGCCAGTCTCTCAGAAGCACAGGCGACAACCTGAACTGCCAGTTGGCATCTGAAGGGGATGCAGTGTTGTTGGACAGAGCCCTTAACCTGTGGAATCTGATGCTATTTCAGAGTAGATAGTGTCAAAATCATGAAATTGTAGGACACCCAGCTGCTGTTGAAGAATTGCTTGGTGCGGGGGAGAGGGGGGAACCCACATGTCAGAATTGGGTACAGAATCTCACCACGTATTTACTTTTATTAAGATCTCCTTCATTTCCTTAGATGGTTTCCAGGTGTTGTCGAGGGCTTTTCATATCACCCCACAGGATCACCTCTTGTGGAGGAACAAACTCCCTCGGCTTACTTTTTAAATATGAGAATGTTTTCATTTTGTTCTCATTTTTGAAAGACAATTGCTGGATATGGAATTCTTGGTTAACAGGGTTTTTGTTGCTGTTGTTTTTTCTTTTAGAACTTTGAATATATCAGCCCACTGCCTTCTGTCTTCCATCTGATGAGAAATCTGCTGATAATTGCATTGAGGATCTCCTGTATGTGACAAGTCATTTCTCTCTTGCTGCTTTCAAGATCCTATCATTTTTATTTTGGCTTTGGGAAGGTAGCTGTGCTCACCACTATACCACCAATGCACGTTTCTTTGGCTTTTGAAAGTTTGATTGTAAAGTGTTTCAGTGTGGGTCTCTTTGAGTTCACTTTGCTTAGAGTTTGTTGAGATTCTTAGATGCTTATATTCATGTCTTTCATCAAATTTGGGAAGTTTTCGGCCATTATTTCTTCAAATATGCTCTCTGCCCCTTTCTCTCTTCTCCTTCTGGCACTCCCACAATGTGTATATTGGCCCACTTGATGTTGTTCCGTAGGTCACTTAGGCTCTGTTCGCCTTTCGATCTTTTTTACTTTCTGTTCCTCAGACTCAGTAATTTCCATTGTCCTGTCTTCGAATTCACCAGTTCTTTTTCTGTCTGCTCAAATCTGCCATTGAATCCCCCTAGTGAACTTTTCATTTCTGCTATTATACATTTTAGTTCTAGAATTTCTTTTAGGTTTCTTTTCAGGTTTTCTGTCTTTATTGACATTTCCATTTTGCTCATACATGTTGACTTTCCCCACATATTCTTTTAGTTGTTTGAGCTTCTTTAAGGCAGTTGTTTTAAAGTCTTTGTCTATTAGATCTGCCACCAGACATTTTTCAGGGGCAGTTATGGTTGCTTTATTTTTTCCTTTTTTTTTTTTTTTTAAGATTTTATTTATTTATTTGACACAGAGAGAGAGACAGCGAGAGAGGGAACACAAGCAGGGGGAGTGGGAGAGGAAGAAGCAGGCTTCCCGCCGAGCAGGGAGCCCGATGTGGGGCTTGATCCCAGGACCCTGAGATCATGACCTGAGCCAAAGGCAGTAGCTTAACCAACTGAGCCACCCAGGCGTCCCTTATTTTTTCCTTTGAATGGGTCATGCTGGGGCACCTGGGTGGCTCAGGTGGTTCAGCGTCTGCCTTCGGCTTGGGTCGGAATCCCAGGGATCTGGGATCAAGCCCCACGTCAGGCTCACTGCTCAGTGCAGGGCCTGCTTCTCCCTCTCCCCTGCCATTCCCTCCGCTTGTGCTCTCTGGCTCTGTCTCTCTGTCAAAAAAAAAAAAAAATCTTAAAAAAAAATGAATGGGTCATGCTTTCTTGTTCCTTTGTATGCCTTGTGACTTTTTTATTGTTGTTGTTAAAAAAATGGACATTTAAATCTGATAATGTAGTAACTGGAAATCAGATTCTCCTCATCCCCAGGGTTTGCTCTTTTTTGTTATTGGTTTTTCCTTTTTTTTTTTTAATTGTTATAGGCTGTTTCTGTGCTAAGGATCAGACTGGGGTGTAAACTTAAAATCTTCTGAGGTCTTTTCTGACCTTGCATCTCTCCTGTATATGCAATTGTTTTTGAATGTCCTAGTCTTTACTATCTGGCTCCCAAAAGGGGAAAAAGAGACAAACGAAGGTGGGGATAAAAAGGCACCAGCTCTTTAAATCCCCTGGAAGTCACTGCAGCTGGAGAGGAAGAAGCTGGAACAATGGGGAGAAGTGCAGCAATAGGGCGGCCTGCCTCTCTCTGCACCTCTGTGACCAGAAACAGCAGTCTCTGGAACACAGTACGGAGGCTCCTCAAAAAGTTAAAAATAGAGCTACCCTATGACCCAGCAACTGCACTACTAGGGATTTATCCAAAGGATACAATGATCCGAAGGGACACGTGCACCCCAATGTTTATAGCAGCCATGTCCACAATAGCCAAACTGTGGAAAGAGCCCAGATGTCCATCAACAGATGAATGGATAAAGAAGATGTGGTCCATATATACACAATGGAATATTACTCAGCCATCAAAAAGAGCGAACTCTTGCCATTTGCATCAACGTGGATGGAACTAGAGGGTATTATGCTAAGTGAAGTAGGTCAGTCAGAGAAAGACAAATGCCACATCATTTCACTCATATGTAGAATTTAAGAAACAAAACAGATGCACATAGGGCAAGGGAAGGAAAAATAAAATAAGATGAAAATTGAGAGGGAGGCAAACCATAAGAGACACTGAACTCTAGACACAAACTGAGGGTTGCTGGAGGGGAGGTGGGTGGGGGGAACAATAACTGGGTGATGGGCATTAAGGAGGGCACTTGATATAATGAGCACTGGGTGTTATATGCCACTGATGAATCACTAAATTCTACCTCTGAAACTAAAAAAAGAAAGAAAGAGAAAAGAAAAGAAAGAAGAGAAAGAAGAAAGAGAAGAAAAGAGAGGAAAGAAAGGAAAGGAAAGAAGGAAAAAGAAGTGGCAGTCAGCGATCAGACCACTGATCCTCTATATTTGGAGGACAAGGTGCTTTTTGCCCACTTTGGTCTTGCAGGGTGTGTGCAAGCTGCAGCAGGAACATGGGTACAGCTGCCGGCCACGGGGCTGCGGGCTGGGTAGCCCTGACTCTGCTAAGAGCTGAAATTGATGAAAACGCACCACAATTTACCATCCTAGCCTTCCTCTGGAAGTTTGCAGGCTTCAGGAGTTTCCAGAGTTCCAAAATGAGTCTGCCAGTGCAATTGCTCTCCAGGTAGGTGTGACCTACTCTGCCATCTTCCCAGAATCCTCCCGGGGTTTCTTTGTGGGGTGATGACAATGCCCTAACATTGGTTGTGGTGAAGGTTGTACATACCTGTGAATATACTAAAAACCATTAGCTGGTACACTTCAAAGATGTGGATTGTATGGTATATAAATTATAAGAAAGCGGTTATTAAAAAAAAAAAGTGCTGCTCTTTCCATGAGGGAAGCAGTTGGATGTAATCAGCCTGCCATCATCAAGCTGACTGATCCTCTTGAGGAACGGTGCCAGATCCGGGGATTTAGTGCTGGTCTTTGCTGCTAGCAGATTGGGCTCTTACCAGTGGCAGTAGCCAGATCAGCCTTTGTGAGCAGAAGTTCTCGTGTGGATCCCATGCACAGTTCCCCTGGCTGCCCACCCTGGCTGCGTGGTTAATGAGCTGGCTGGGTAATGACAGGAGTGGCTGGGGAAAGTGGCTGACTGGTGTCCACAAAATGGCTTCTCCTATCTTCCTAAAATTTTATTTTCTTTTTTTTTTTTTTTTTTTTTTTAAAGTAAAATTTTATTTTCTGAGGTCACTCTGGTGAGCATCCACATGGGACACAGTTCTCCTTCTCTTCTGGAGAGCTCTATTTTCTTATCTCCTCCCCAGACCTCTTTGTAGCAGTCTCTGACCATCTAGCCAAACCATTAGTCACAACTAATGAATTGATACAGATCCGTATTTCTGGGCATCCTCTTCTTTCGGTCCAAATGGGCAACCAGGTGCATTGCTCAAATTTCTGCCAATTGGCAAAATTTCCCTTTACCCCCATCCTTCAAGGGTGCCCAGAACGGGGCTGCAGTGATGCAGCTGTCCACTTTTAGGTGGTGCCTCCATGTCCTTCAGAACTGTCCTGTAAACCAGAGTTTTATGTCACCAGAGTTTTACTATTTGCAAAACCTGAGGTTTTTGTTTTGTTTTGTTTTCTTCACAGTCAACTGGTCATAGAGAACTCCCCATTAGCCATAGGTGAAGTTTGAGATCCAGAAGGCGTTGAAGCAGGAATCATGGATCTGGACATCGGGGCAACTTCCTCGGGCAAAGTACTTATTGCTTTATGACCTGCTAGAGCCATCTTGTATAAACCACTTCCACAGATCGCTGCTGCGCATGCCTAGCTTTGCGACTTCCTGGGTCGTACAACAGGTAATGGTAGGTAGCTCCATTTGCATAGTATCTTAGTGGCCTGGGGTCAAATATTTAGCTTCTACTAAAGCCCAGTAGAAAGCCAAGAACTGTTTCTCAAAGGTAGAATAATTATTTTCAGAGAATGACCTGACATTGCTCCAAAATCCTAGAGGTCTATGCTGCGATTCACAGATAGGGAGGGGGCTGCCAGTCTCCAAACAGCATCCCTATCTACCACTGACACTTCAAGCATCACCATATCAGCCCGAATCTGTTGCAGAGCTTTCTCTCATTCTGGATCCCACTCAAAACTGGAAGCTTTCCAGGTTACTCAGTAAACGGATTACGGCAGTATTCCCAAGTTGGGTATATGCGGACTCCCAAATCCAAAGAGGCTCCCCAGCATTGTGCCTCTCTTTCAGGATCAGGAGGGGCCGTGGGCAGCAACTTTGCCTTCACCCAGGAAGGGATAGCTCAACATCCCTCAAATCACTGGAGCCCAAGAACATTCACTGAAGTGACAGGCCACAAATTTTTGTAGGTAGGATTTATTTCCCAATCTCTGGCATGCAGTTGTCTTACCAATGTGTCTAAAGTGGTGGCTACTTCTTGCTCATCAGATCCCATCATCATAATACCATCCATGTAATGGGCCAGCATGATGTCCTGTGGAAAAGGAAGGTGACTAAACTCAGTCCAGACCATCTTAGGACATAGGGATGGAGCACTGGTATACCTCCGAGCTGGGATGGTAAAGATGTTTCTAGCTTTGCCAGCTGAAAATAAACTTCTTCTGATGGTCTTTACTATCAGGTATAGATTAAAAAAACAGGGCGCCTGGGTGGCTCAGTTGGTTAAGCGACTGCCTTCGGCTCAGGTCATGATCCAGGAATCCCAGGATCGAGTCCCGCATCGGGCTCCCTGCTCGGCAGGGAGTCTGCTTCTCCCTCTGACCCTCCTCCCTCTCATGCTCTCTGTCTCTCATTCTCTCTGTCTCAAATAAATAAATAAAATCTTTAAAAAACAACAACAACAACAACAACACATTTTCCAGATCAATAACTGTATAACAGGTCCCAGGAGGTGTGTGAATTGCTCCAGCAATGAAACCCCATTTGGAACAATAGCAGCAATCGGAGCCACCATCTGCTTACATTTATGATAATCCACTGTCATCCTCCCAGATCTCTCTGTCTTCTTGCACGGGCCAGATAGGCAAGTTGATGGGGTCATGGTGAGTCACCACTCTTGCATCTTTCAAGTCTTAATGGTGGCACCAATCTCTGCACTCCCTCCAGGAATGTGGTATTGCTTTTGGTTTAGTATTTGCATAGGCAGAGAGAATTCTAGTGGCTTCCACTTGGCTCTTCCCACCATTATATCCCTCAACTCCATGGTTCAGGGAACCAATGTTGCAATTCTTCTAATTGCTCAATATGTTTATTCCAATTATGCATTTCAGCATTGAGCAAATATCCACAGGATGGATTCAATGACCAGTTAGGCCTTTTGTGAAACAGAACTTCCCCCAACCTGATCCCCATAGCCCCACTCTGACTGGTGAACCACTAGCTAGCTCCTGAGGTTCCAGGAACTAGAGTCAGTTCCCATCCAGTGTCCAGTCATGCTTGGAAAATCTGATTATTTCCTTTCCCCCAGTGTACAGCTGCCTGGTAAATGGCCACGGGTCTCCTTGGAGAGCTAGGAGAAAGATTAACAGCATACATTTTGGGCAGTGTAACAGGGTCCTTCCTCCAAGGAACCTGGCCCCTCCTTTCATCAAAGGCTCAAGTGTAGGATTGAGGTGCCCTGACTCTGTTTTGGTCATTCAATCGCTCAGAATTCATTCACTAGACCCAGAACTCATCCACTAATTTGGATCAAGCAAGGCTTTAGGAGGCTGCCCGCCTATTTCATTTCAAAGGATGCCGTGACAAACTAGGAAATGCCAATGAGCTCTGCAAGTCAGACTATTCTCATTACTGGTTGGGCTTCACTATCCACTGTGGGAACCATATCATATTATCTTTGGTGTGTAAGTGCCCCCAGGATCCCTGCCACCTCTGGTTCTGTCATGCCTATTGCATTTAGAGATCCCAGTTCAAGGACAGCCATTTCCACTAGAATTTCTGACCTTCAAAGAAGAGCCACCATAGGGCTCTTCAAAGACGCTAGAACTCCTGGGCGCCTGGGTGGCTCAGTCGTTAAGCGTCTGCCTTCGGCTCAGGTCATGATTCCAGGGTCCTGGGATCGAGCCCCGCATCGGGCTCCCTGCTCCGTGGGAAGCCTGCTTCTCCCTCTCCCACTCCCCCTGCTTGTGTTCCTGCTCTCGCTGTGTCTCTCTCTGTCAAATAAATAAATAAAATCTTAAAAAAAAAAAAAAAGACGCTAGGACTCCTTCCTATGAATTTCTTTCTGACAGCCACATGACAGCTAATGACAGTGATATCATTGTGGCTCTTTAACAACCCCCCCCTCCGCTGCGTGTGTATAAGCAAGTCTTAAATGACAAAGCCACTCAGCATTCCAATCTTTCTAAGCCTGTGTGGGTTTCTTTCCAGCTTTACCGAGGTATCATTGACAAATAAAACTTCTATATATTTAAGGTGTACAATGTGTTGTTTTGATATATGTATATATCGTGAAATAATTACCACAATCAAGCTAACATTTTTATCACCTTTGTGTGTGTGTGTGCTAAGAACACCTAAGATCGACTCTCTTGGCAAAATTCAGTATTACTGTAATAAACGCAGTATTATTAACCATGGTCACTGTGCTGTACATTAGATCTCTAGAATTTACTAGTATAATTGGAACTTTGTGCCCTTTGACCAACATCTCCCCATTTCTCCCATCCCCCAGCATCTGGCAACCACCACTCCACTCTCTGCTTTTATGAATTTGATTTTTATAGATTCCACTTACAAGTGATATGCAGTATTTATTTCTCTTGTGTCTGGCTTATTTTACTTGGCATAGTGTCCTTTAGGTCGCAAGCCTTTTGGATACCGTCCTTTATAGCAGGAATCAGCAAACTATAGCCCAGAGACCAAATCTAGTGCTGTTTTGCATGGCCTGCAGGCTAAAAATGGCTCTCACATTTTTTTTAAATTTATTTGAGAGAGAGAGAGAAAACACACGAGAAGGGGGAGGAGGAGAGGGAGAGGGACAAGCAGACTTGGTGCTAGACACAGCGCCCGACGCAGGGCTCGGTCCCAGGACCCTGGGATCACAACCTGAGTCAAAGGCAGACTCTTACCCCACTGAACCACCCAGGCGTCCCAGTTTTCACATTTTTTAATTGAAATAAAATCAAAAGAAGAATAATATTGTATGACACATGCAAATGATACAAAATTCACATTTCAGTGTCCATAAATAAACATATTGGGACACAGCCATGCTCATTCCTTTACAAATTGTCTTTGGCTGCTTTTCCACTCTAAGGCCAGAGCTGAAGCTGACACTGGTCTATAAACCCTAAAACATACTATTTAGCCTTTTACAGAAAAGGTTTGCTGACTCATGGGTACAGAGGTCAGTCAAACAACCAAGCAGCAAGCCATCAGAGATATTCTTAGACCTTTACGTCCGAACATGGAAGCCAGAATCTCTGCTTAGTGGGCCAAATCAATACATTTGGCCTGATCCAACTTTATATTCTGCCACCACCTTGAATCAGCACACCAAAGACCCATTTCCATACACATTCTGCAGTTTTCTGTTGATATAAATTGGCAAATGGAAATTGGCAACTGTCCTGGTGATCTCCTCACGGGTCCTATCTTGCTCCCCGCCCTTTGGGTTCTGTTGAGACTTGAGTCTGGGTATAGGTCTTAGAGGCCAGAAAAGGTCGGAGGAGGGTGAGCAGCTCCTTGCAAGGCAGCTACCTTAGGGAAGGCCATTACAATTTCTTCAAGCAAGAGGAGACTAACCTCCCCAGGCAGGGGTGCAGGCTCACTCGATGGGCAAAGGAGACTCGGCAGCCTTGTTAGAATCTGCCCATATATCCCAAAGCCAATCCCAATTTGGGGGGCTCCTGTTTCTTCCCATTCAATGCCCTGGCATTAACAAAAGGACCCTGTGAGGTTGGAAGTTGGTTGGGAATTGTAACTCGGCCACCCACAGGAATTCACTTTGAGCGTGGTCTTCAGAACTCTTGGCCCTGTCTCTGTGGGAAATAAGAGTTTCTCTCTTTGCAGTCACAGAAACATTCAAGTCCCTCGGACAGCACTTGAGCTGTGGGGATATAAAGCTCTGAGGTCACCATTTTCTTTCCCCACGTTTTCCAGCACGGTTAGAGGCAACCAGCCAACTCATTACACACCTTATTTTTACTAAAACATCCTATGGAAGCAAATACTTGGTTCCCCCAGAGCCTTGCCTCCCGATACAGGCAGTTACTGGTACTGATCTGAGTGACTGCTTGCCATTTCGTGCCATGGACTATCAGTGTCCCCTTTACCCCTGAAAACAGGGTCATTGACGGCTTTAAATCTAATTAGATCAGAGAACCAATTGCCTGTCACCTTGGTGGTACAATGTCCCACGGAAGCCAGAGCCCCCATCGCAGGGCTAGGCACGCAGCTGGTGCAGGAGTTGGAGGAGCTGAAAGAGGGGGGTTGGAACACATACACGCCCAGCTGCTGCCTTCTACCAAAGAGATGAGTCGCAGATAAGCGACCGCTAGTGTAAGCCACGAAATGGTTGCCGTTCCAACCTCGACCCCGCAAATCCCCCACAAGAACATCTCTTGCGGCCCACCCTAACCAGAAGCGTACAGGGAGGGGAATGCTGGGAAATGTCATGTAACCTGGCCCAGTGGACCACATCGCAGAGCCACCTCACGGGGTGTTTTCAAAGGCCGCTTAATCTCCCCACCAGCAGGAGCTCACCGACTCACCAACCTCCCTAAAAGCAACACCTCACTGAAGCATTGGAAGTCCCTCCCAACAGCCCCCAAAAAAGCGTGAGTCTCATGTGAAGAAAGCAGATTCCTTCCAGTTAGTGTGATTTGGCCTTAATTCTTCCAGAACAAGAATCTTGTCAGTATTGTACTCGGGAGGCTGGCTGCATTCTGAGAGCAATTCCATTAGGTCTTGGCAACCCGTCTCTCCCCTGATGTAAAAGCGGAGGAGGAGGCTGCAGTTAAGACACCACAACAGAAAAAGGGGTCTTGTGCCAGAAGGGGTTGGGGCAGCAGATGGACAGCCTTTGGAGAGCATTGGGGGCACAGCTGGAAAGATTTCTGGATGTCTTTTCCAAGTCTGAGATTCAGTGTTCTGTCCCCTGGAGGTCTCCACAGACTCCAGTCTTAAGAATTACCTTTTCCTTTCATATTTGAATAAAAATATCTTGAGTCCCCATCCTTAACTTGGGAGAAGCTCAACATTCTCCCCACCATATCAACACATTCCTTGTGGCTGTTGTTTTCCATGATGGTATTCAGGGTGTCATGGACTCAGCTAAAAGACTACATTTCCCAATTTCTTTTTGCAGATAGAAGTGGCCAATCGGAAGTAAGTAGAAGTCTTTGGGAAGGGATCCTGAGATCCCCTTTTTGAAAGAATGAAACTCACCTAGTGGTGCCTTCTCCCCTCCACACCTTTTTCCTTTCTTCTTGCTTTTTTCCTCTGGAACATGACATGATGGCAGAGGCTCCTGCAGCCATTTTGTGATCTTGAGGATTAGAGCCACATGCTAAGGATGGCAGAGCAGTAAGTCAGTGCTACTCCCTTATGACACCAAGGAACCCTTCTCCAGCCTCGGACTACACACTTCATAGGTCTGTGAGGAGAAATAAATCACCTTGTTGAAGCCACTGTTGTTTCTGGCTTATGTCTCTTGACACCGAATACAGTTTCTGCTTCCAGAATTCTTGGTATGTGAGGCAATTACTTTCCTCTGTGGCAATACCCAGTTCCCTCGCAATAAGAAGATCGTAGTTTCCTGCCCTCTTGAACTCAAACGTGGCTGTGTGATTTGCTCTGGCCGATGCAATCTGAGCAGGAATGATGTGTGTGTCCCTTCTGGCAGAGGCTACAAGAGCCAGCGTGTGTCTCACCTTCTTCTCTCTTCTTTCTGTCACTGATGACCGGGGACGTTTCTGATGGTGGCTTCTCCATCATCAGCTTAGGGCACATCATCACTCCCAGCTGATCCATGGTGAGCATGAGGTGTGAGTGCAAACACACCTTTGCCATTGTAAGCCACTGAGATTTTGAGATTATTCCTGTTGATTTCCAGCAAAAATGGGTTGGCCTGATTTAGGGAATGAAGAGCTGACAAGCTTTCTGGAAAGGCTGGTGGAGTGGGCTCAGGGCTAAGACTTTGCAAATGATTCCCAAAACCTGACTCTAAGGAAAAATTTGCCTCCACTCCTGTGTGCTGCTTGTTTAAGCTCATACCATCACCACACCAAGCAATTCTCTGTCACCCCAGCACGGTGTCCTACAATTCAGTTCAATTCTGCCACAAACCAGAGTGAACGCAGACCCCAGAGGCGAAGGGCTCGGTCCCATGAAACTGCCCCTCCCCTACTTCTGACGTCAATGGCTGGTAAGTCCCAGGTTACCCACAACTTCTGTCAAATGTGACTACAAATTGGGGCTTCCCATGATTCCCTCACCTTGGATTTGATTCTTTACCAGAACGCTCGTAGAACTCAGGGAAACACTTATGTTTACCAGTTTATTATATCATGGAGGCTATGATGAAGGCTACAGATGGACAACCAGGTCAAGAACTACACAGGGCGAGGTCTGGGAGAATCCTGAGCATGGGAGTTTCCACCCCCCTGCCAGCACGTGGCTATGTTCACCAAGCAGGTTGCTCTCTGACCCCTGTAATTTGGGGATTTTTATGGAGGCTTCATCATGGAGGCATGATTGACCATTAACTCAACTTCCAGCCCCTCTCCCTCCTCCAGAGGACGGGGGTGGGACTGGAAGTTTCAAGCTTCTGATCATAACTTGGTCTTTCTGGTGATCAGAGCCATCTAGAAGCTTACCATCCCTTGCCTCATCAGAACAAAAGATGCTCCTATCACCCAGGAAATTCCTGGGGTTGTAGGAGCTCTGTGCCAGGAACTGGGAGCAAAACCCAATATACATATTTCCTATACTTTCACAATAACTGAACCAACCCCCTTAGGGAGCTTCTCCTTCCACCTCAGCTGTGAGCCCCCCACCCCCACCCCGTCCATGGCACCTTCGGAATCCTGATCCAGGGCCCAGAAGTCATCACCACCCCAGACGCAACTGTCTTTTTGTTTTCAGGGTTTTTTTTTTTTAAGATTTTATTTATTTATTCGTGAGAGACAGAGAGAGAGAGAGAGGCAGGGGGAGAAGCAGGCTCCCCACGGAGCAGGGAGCCCGATGCGGGACTCGATCCCAGGACCCTGGGATCACGACCCGAGCTGAAGGCAGACGCTTAACTGACTGAGCCACCCAGGCGCCCCTTATTTTCAGTTTTGTTGTGCTTGGGCTTGAGGTATAACTCACGTGTAATAAAGCACAGGAAACTAAGTGTACAACTCAGCCAGTTCTGGCCGATTAAGACATTCACGTAAGCTGTGCTACCATCATGACACAGAATGTTCCAGTCCTTCCAGAAAGTTCCCTCACACCTCTCCTCAGTCGACGCCCCGCCCCCATAGGAGGGGCACCACAATAGTGGTAAAAGCAACTATTATCCTGACTTGAATCGCCATCACTTCGTCTTGCTTGCTCCGGAACTTCACGTAAGTGGTAGTAGACGGTCTGGGCACTTTGGTATCTGGCTCCTTTCACTCAGGCTAAGGCTTTTGCGATTCCTCCATGTTGCCGCATAGTTTCTCCCGTTTAGTGTTGAGCGGTATCCCCTCACAACGCATGCCATGGTTTCTATCCACTCACGTGTGTGTGTGTGTGTGTGTGTAATATATATATGAATGAATGACATTCCCTCCTGATGGGTTAGGCACCTGATTAGCAGATGGTAGATGCCAATCAAAAATATTTTTAGAATATAAATATTGGATATATACAATATATATGTATATATTCCACACTATACATTTCACACATATAACATCCATGTATTATACACGTCTGTGCATATACGTAAGACATATCACACATGCACATATGCTATATATCACATGTAATGTTTGTTTTCAATGGATTTATCCTATTTATTTATTTATTTATTAAAGATTATTTATTTATTTATTTGACAGAGAGAGACACAGTGAGAGAGGGAACACAAGCAGGGGGAGTGGAGAGGGAGAAGCAGGCTTCCCGCTGAGCAGGGAGCCCGACGCGGGGCTCGATCCCAGGACCCTGGGATCATGACCTGAGCCGAAGGCAGATGCTTAATGACTGAGCCACCAGGCGCCCCTGAAATACTCTTTATAAAGTAAAACTTCTCATCAACTGTTTGGTTACCCTGAAAGATAGTCTGTCTAGGAAAGAATATTTGAATAATGAGTTGGTTTCTTTTTTTTTTTTTAAAGATTTTATTTATTCATAAGAGACAGAGAGAGAGAGGCAGAGGGGGAAGCAGGCTCCCCGCTGAGCAGGGAGCCCGATGTGGGACTTGATCCCAGGACCCCGGGATCATGACCTGAGCCGAAGGCAGACGCTTAACGACTGAGCCACCCAGGCACCCCTATCCTATTTATTTTTTATTTGAGAGAGAGAGAGTGAGCTCAAGCGGGGGGAGGAGCAGAGAGGGAGGAAGAGGGAGGAGGAAAGAACCTCAAGCAGACTCTGCGCTGAGCACGGAGCCCGACACGGGGCTGGATCTCACGACCCTGAGATCACGACCTGAGCTGAAACCAAGAGTCGGACGCTTAACCAACTGAGCCACCCAGGCGCCCCTCACTGGATTTATCCTGATGGCTACTTTCTACTTACATGAAGCAGTACTGGTTTTCCATCTATGATTGTTTGTTTTAAAATAAATGTATTATGTTAAAAAAGGAGGTGATCTCTTGAAAAAGTGAATAGTAAATAATACGGGTGGGATGAAAATGTGGCAACAAGTGAGAAGAGTATATAAAGAATCAGATTATTTGGGATATACTCTGGTATTTTTCTTTTCTATTTTATTACTTCTTTTTTATGCTACTCAGAGCCCATGAAACTGATTTCATAACCCACGACTAGGCTCTGACCCAAGGTCTGTGAACTCTTGTTATGCAAGCCCATGTGAACAGGACCTTGTCTCTGTGTTTTGTCATGATGGCCCTTACGCTGGGGGAGCGGCCTCTGCCCCCGGCCGCGCGCTTCAGAGGACCTACTCTGGCCTTACCCGGTGGAGCCCCTCTCCGGGGCCTTCAGGACATGCCCACCAGAGCCTGTGCCCCTTCTGGACTCTGCTCTGGATCCCTGGGACCCTGGAATTCCCCGCCCGAATGGCTCTGGGGCCCCCTCCCAGGGCCTGCGTGGCCTTCTTGGTGGGCATTCCCCTCCACAGAGAGGTGGCCCAGAGGCAGTCTTTTGTGGCAGGGGGTGTGGGTGGAGTTTGGATGGGCAGGCTGGGGTGTCCACACTCATGTGTGGGGCCCCTCACAGTGACGGGAGGATCTGGAGTGTAAAGAAAAGTAGGCCCCCGTGGGTCCGGGACCTCCATTTGCGCTTGGCCGGTTACCAATACTACCTACCAAGGTGAGGGGTGAGCTCACGTGGGACACCAGGCCAGGGGTCTCACACTGCCGGGGGCCGAATCCAGCGCGGACGCTCCCACGGGCCAGGGTCCCCCGTGGCCTGCCCTCCTGTCCCTCTTGCCTCACACCAGCCAGGCCATGTTCTCTGGATTCCCTGCCTTGGCTTTTGAGTCTGTGACCCTCTCCCTTCAGTCCTCAGGGGACCCGTCCTCAGTCCCAGCCCCTTTCTTCCACTCCCCAGTCATGAATGATCAGAGACCATGGGCAAGGACCACAGTGTTTACTTTTCGTCTGAACAGAATGGGTGGCTTGGGGGGCAGTGCCCAGGGAGCCAGGCGGCCCTCTGGGTGGGTAGGGTGGGGAGGGTAGGGGCCTTGGGCCGTGAGCCCCGGCTCTGGCTCCATCCGGGTCTTCCCTCTCAGGCTGGGCTTTACTGACTATTCTGTAGGCTCCGCGAGGGGAGGGAGGTGGCTGGGCATGGTGAGCTGGTAGGGACTCAGTCTTGGGGTGCCCATCGATTGGGTTGCCGGCCCCTACTTCCGATGGTCTCACCTGTTACGATTCCGGCATAATTGGGGTAACCGCCTACACTTGCCACCTGTGGGTGAAGGAAAACGTTGGGTCATGAGTTGGAACAACATTGATTACTGCATGTGCTCTGGGTGCTGGGGGACAAGGCCCACCAGCCCTGCCCTTCAGGAAGCTCCAGGGCAACCCCAAGCCAGAGATGAGAAGCACATGGGAGAAGAGCTAGTGTGACGTCCCTCAAGCCTCTCACGCACAGAGAGGAGCTTGAAAACCCATCCGAGCTTGTGTGTGATTCGTTCATTCAGCAAATATTTACTGAGCACCTACTATGTGCCAGGCTCTGACCTCGGCACTGGGAGCACAGCCGGGGACAGGAATGAATAAAATCCCTGCCCTGGTAGAGCTGACTTTCTAGTCGGGGAGACTGACAATGAGCAGAATGACTGGGTCAAGTGTAGGAACAGTGATATCAGATGGTGATGCGTGCTCAGAAGAAAACTAAAGCCAGGAGGGAGGCAGGGAGGCCCAGGGGCTGGGGGCATCCACACGGCGATGACTAGAAGGGCCTCATTGGAAGAGGTGAGGGGGGAGCCACGTGGACATCTAGAGGAAGGGTGTTCCAGACAGAGGGAATGGCCAGTGCAAAGGCCCCGGGGTAGGAGGAGACAGGTAGGCTTAATGGACAACATGGGGGTCAGGGGGCCTGACCGAAG